GCTGCTATCACCAACATGTAGTTTTCAAACATTGTTAGCCATTTTGAAAATGCTATTGCTGGTTCCCCTGGGCATGGCATGAATGGAGCAGTTAAAGGCCCAGAAATAGACAATAAGCAGACACGTGAATCAGCTTCGGTTCTCCTCTTTCAGTTTCGTGTCTCCTCCTGCCTCCCTGCATACAGCATCTTTTTAAACATACAGTCTTAGAGCGCCCACTGGTGTCCTTTTTATGCAAAAGCACAATTCAATTTCAGTTCATTAACGCAACACATTCATCTTGAAAACAACAAACATTCTCTATTCAAATCCCTCAGAGATGGGGGACATCAGAGTGCTGCTTTTGTTTATCCACATGAACTAATGCTTTTAGTGTTAAAATAAAGCTCAGTCTGATGTCAAGTGTTTAATCGAACTCATTGTACAGCTGGACAAATGAACATTTTGTTCAACAACAAAATGAGATCTGATTTGGTTATCATTACAGTTTAAAAGTTGTTTGAGAACACGTGACAAGCAAGAACACTTGTGTAATTTAATATTTGTCTGTGTTATTCCTGTCTGGAGTCAGCTTTAGGCCAGTGGTGCTCCAATTGGTCAAAACACTAGACACTGCCACAGATATACAGGCACTTATCAATGTGTCAGTCTGTGTTCCATGCCAGAGATTTGAACTAAGGTCATTTTATGTTGAGAACAGACAAAGCTGTTTTGGTCAAACGTTGTTAATGACGATATGTGCACCCTCATGTAGTACTGTGAGATCTGGCAAGAAATGATACTACTGATCGCAACGATGACTCTCAACTACAAATATAGCTCCATAGCTGTAAAACTTTTTGTGTTATAAGCTTTAGTTGGCTAAGGTTGATGAGCTATATGGTGGCCATCTTTGATTGGGTTGACTTCAAATGTTAGTTTCAGATGTACAGCTAATTTCTTTGACAGTTTCATAAGTATTTCCCCATTGGTTCATGAGATATTTGCTAGTAGACAGGCAGCATTGACTCCAGTTGTTAATAGCAAAGTTTAAAAATCTATTGTTCAGAGAATGTGTTGGGAATGACTTTCAGGTGCTAAATCTCCAAATTTGATCTGAGTTTCTGACAAATTAGTTGAGTTGTAATTTTTGTATTTGCAGAGGTTACTTTGCTAATGGTACATGGTAAATGGACTGTACTTGTATAGCTCCTTTCTATCTGCTCAAGATACTCAAAGCACTTTACACAACAATCTGTGCCTCATTTACCCATTCATACAGCTCTATACTAGATCTCTACAAAGATAATTGAACAAATCATTCTAATGAAACTGATCAGAGCTTTAGCTCACCGATGGGACACACATCAGTCAGTCAGAGTTTCTTTACTGTCATTCGCACCACATGTGGTACATGTGGTGGAGCGAAATTATGTACACAAGGTCCCAGTTACATCCAACAATACATAAGAAAAACATTAATAAGATCTAAGATATGAACTAAGAAAAACATCAACTAAAAATACACTAAAGCACTAATGGCATAAAAACATTACGTTGAACAGTGGAAGCATTGAGGGGTTCAGTGTCTTGTCCAGGGACACTTCGGCATGTGACTGCTGGTGGATTTGAACCCCCAACTCTTGCGTTGGTGGACGACTGCTCCAACCACTCAGCCACAGCCGCCCATGGTAGCCGCCTTGAATGAGAAACCAGCTAGAGGACCTGACTTAACCTTGTTGGATTTTTCTAGCTAGTTTATTGAGCATGAACCTTATTGCTATTTTGAACTATTTTGTCCATGCAACAAAGTTCATGCTCAATCATCCAGGTACCAAATCCAATAATTCTCAGTCGGGTCATCTGGACAGTTTCTTTTTGATAGAGACGTTTCGCCCTCTATCCGGAGGGCTTCATCAGTCAGAGGAGTTCCAGTAAACTGTTTCCTCACAAAACAGTAAACTCCTTAAGTGGACCAACCTGTTTGCTGGAGCTAAGATGGTTTCTGCGGGCCGACCTGGTGGACCTACCATCTAGGTAGGTGGACTGACATGCTGTGGTGTTAAACTCCTCTGACTGATGAAGCCCTCTGGATAGAGGGCGAAACGTCTCTATCTAAAAGAAACTGTCCAGATGACCCGACTGAGAATTATTGGATATTTTGGCCATGACTGCCTTAAAGAAGTTGACGGGGAGAGGGCAGACTCGAGAAGCCATCTGAGCATCATCAAACTGGATGACCCACTATGTGAAGGTGCTATTTATAAGATTGAGTCTGTTGTGGCTCCTTGACTGATGAAGTCTTTTGGATGAAAGATGAAACATTTAAACAAAAATAAAACATCTAGAGGACCTGACTTGACTTTGTTGGATTTTCTACCTGGATTATTGAGCATAAACTTTGACATCTTGAATGGTGTTGACGCCAAAAGTCAATCAGTTGTAAATTTTTATCTGGATTATAAAAAATAAAACAAAACCAGCTTTGCATTCAAATATTTCAGGTTTTGTGGAAATGTAATTCACCAACTCTTTTGTTGCAGACATGGTTCCTACAATGCTGGGCCCCAAAAACCAACTCATAAAAGTGACCAAAAACAACCGGACCTTCCTCCACTGTCCGTTTTTCGGCTCTCCTTTACCTGTGCTGCGCTGGTCAGAACCAGATTTTCACTTTTACAACAATATCCTGATTTTGTTATTTTCTTCCTGCTAAACAATTTTTTTTTTTACTATTTTGTTATAGTCATTTGTAATTAAGTTTGTTTTACCAGGACATCATGTTTTTATACTAAATTAATGTTTTTCTTTGAAGGTTTAAGAATGGACAAGGCAGTGGGCTAGATGGAGGCCAATACCGGGTTTACGTCAATGGTACCCTGGAGATAAAACGTACTCGAAAGGAGGACGAGGGCATCTACACCTGTGTGGCCACCAGCATTATGGGCACTGCTAATAACCAGGTTCGCCTGGAGGTCAAAGGTCAGATATTATATCAGTAAATCACTGTATGTCATTGGCGTACAGCTTGTTGTATCAAATATTTTAGTAAACTTGTTCTGCAGGGTCCAGGTCATACAGTCTTACCTGCACAGTGTAAGAACAAAGACACAAAACCTTCATCAAGCAGGTGGACTGACACGCTGTGGTGTTAAAATCTGAGCGAACGTGGATAAATAGTGTAGACAGGATTACATTCAGCTCGGACAAACAATGCCATTAAACTCACATCTGTAAACAGTGAACAAAAATTAGTCTACAATGTATCCCTTGCCACAAACATAATAAAAGGGGGCGATCATGTAAGTACCTGTGTTTGTGTGCGCTTGTCCCCACACATTGATATTGTTTTTTTAACATTGGACTCAAGTGCTACATTATTTCAACAGTTAAATCTCAGTGATACATCATCCAATCTGAACCTGAGTTTTTGTGCTTCATCAGTGAGCACTTGTAGACACATTGGTATTGTTGATTCATGACATCACTTAAGCCCCACCTACTCAGAGAAAAAACAGTTGATTATTGGATGACACTTCCAGCTTCGCACTGTGTAAGATATTAGACTGAAACTTTGTTCGCTAACTGTTGATTATCACACATGACATGTTGAAAAGCATAAAGGAAGCGCTTGTCAAACATTCACAAAGAAACAGGAAGTCACCATAACTCATGTCTGGAAGGTCAGATTTCGCCTATATGTGTAAGACCTGCAGCTGGACAAGTAACGACATGGACGGAAGGCGATGTCAAAGATTCGGGAAAGGGCCCCATGGTGAACACGTGCGGGATTGACACAAGAGCGTTCGCGATGGCGACTGGGTGGACTAGCTGGAGCTCCCGCGGTCGCCGTAAGGCCGGAGCGGCGCTTTGCTGCGAGGGCCTCCAATGCTGCTTGCAGCTTTAATTCTTCTTGACACTTTCAGTATTAGGAGATGCATCACACCCAAAGGATTTGGGGAGATAAGAAATGTGCAGTAGCATAAATTTTGTGATGCCAGTGAGGCTGGGTTTGGTGCTGTGTTGTATCTTAGGCTATCTAATAGCAAACAGGAAGTGTGTGTTGCCTTTGTTATTGGTAAAGCGAGGGTGACGCCATTAAAACAAGTCACTATACCATGACTTGAACTTGCTGCTGCAGTTTTAGCTGTTCATCTGGACAAAATGCTTTCAGTACAACTTAGACTCAGTCTGAGTGAATCAGTCTTCTGGTCTGACAGCACAACTGTCCTGCCATACATTGCAAACACAACAGCACGGTTTAAAACATATGTAGCTAATAGAGTTTCTACCATTCATGATCTTACAAAAGTTACTCAGTGGAGCTGATGTAGCCTCTCGAGGCTTGAAGGTTGGACCTTTTTTAAAGTCTTCCACCTGGATCAGTGGTCCAGAATTCCTCACCAAACCTAAGATTCAGTGGCCTGCAGTGATATAAGAAATACCTGCATATTTGGAAGCTGGTCCAGAGGTTAAAGATCAGGTCCTGATATGTGCAGCTGTGCTGAAAGAAGTGTGTCCCATTACTAAGCTGCTAATGTACTTTTCCAGTTGGACAAAGCTAAAAAGATGTGTAGCATGGATCCTGAAATTAACAGAAAGGCTGCAAACAAAGAAAAAAGAAGTTGTTGGACGCACACTGTGGAAGTAAATGTGTGCTAAACAGGACAATAAATTGGATGCTCAGCTCACAACTGATGATCTGTCCACAGCTGAGGAAGCCATAGTGAGCTTTGTGCAAAGAAAACCTTATGGTGATGAAGTAGCTGCCTTGAGCTCCAGTATTGTTAAGAAGTCAAGTCATCTGTACAAGCTTGATCCTGTTGTTACTGATGGTCTGTTGAGAGTGGGCGGCATACTGAGCAAAGCAGCATTACCAAAACATCCTGCCATTTTACCAAAAGAAAGCCATGTTTCAAAGCTCATTCTTCAACAAATACATGAAAAAGTTGGACACAGAGGAAGAAATCACATGCTTTCTACCCTTCGACGTCAGTACTGGATCTCTCATGCTAATTCAGCAGCTAGAAAGATCATCAGAGACTGCATGGTGTGTCAAAGACAGCGACAAAAGCCAGGTGAGCAAAAAAGTCTGAGCTTCCCATTAACAGAATCACAGCTGATCTTCCACCGTTTACTTATGTTGGTGCTGATTATTTTGGACCAATAGAAGTGAAGAGAGGGAAGGGTATTGTTAAAAGATATGGAGTTCTCTTCACATGTTTAACTTGTCGTGCAGTTCACCTCGAAGTGGCACATTCTCTCGACACAGATTCCTGCAGGAGATTCATCTGCTGCAGAGGACAAGTCAAAGCATTCTGGTCAGACAATGGAACCAACTTTGTCCGCTCAAATCGTGAGTTAAAGCAAAGCCATATTGGAGCTAAAACAAAGCAAAATCCAAAAATGTTGAGCACTGGACAGTATAAAGTGGATTTTTAACCCCCCCATGGGGTCCAACATGGTGGTGTATGGGAGCACCTGGTGCAGGAAATAGAGTATTGTGCTCTATCACGAACCAACAAGTACTAGATGACGAAGGCTTGCATACAGTTTTATGTCAAGTGGAGGCGATATTAAATGATCAGTGGCCTGCAGGCCTCCAATCACACCTTCTTCTGACGATCCCAATGACTTGGAGGCTCTTACTCCAAATCATTTGTTCCAGTTAAAGGGTAATCCTGTGCAGCCGCCAGGTTGTTCAAAAGGGAGGACCTGTATATTCGGAGGCGATGGAGACAAACCCCAATACATTGTAGACCTGTTCTGGAAAAGGTGGGTGAAAGAATATCTCACTATCCAACATTTTTCAGTCAGGTCATCTGGACAGTTTCTTTTTTTTTGTGCTGAAACGTTTCGCCTTCTATCCAGAAGGCTTCATCAGTCAAGGAAACACACAACAAAACTGATTATTTCCCCAACAGCTTACTCCAAAGTGGAACAAACCATTTGGTTGGTGTTAAGATGGTCTCTTTGGCATGCCCCCTCCTCCATTTCCGGCCCTCTTCCTTGTTGACAGTCATGTCAAACTGGTTTAATATCTCACTATGTTGCAAGAACGACAGAAGTGGAATAAAACTTGCAGAAACTTTACCATTGATGATGTGGTACTTGTTGTCGACGAGGCTGCACCAAGAAATTCTTGGCCCATTGGACGCATCACAGAAACCACGGCAGATGCACGTGGATTAGTTCAGCGTGTTCGAGTCAAGACAAGAACAAATGAGCTGTCAACAAAATATGTCTCCTGCTGGAGGCTGTATAGAGACAACAGTAAGTGTTTGTCTCCAACAACTGAGCCAAGTTCTGGAACCTCTGGCTCTGCATTTACACTGATACTCATTTACTGACACGCTGAACATCTCATTATGCAACATACACCTTTTTTACACACACAGTCCATGCACATGGACAAGAAAAGGACTTGAAACCATAGAACATTAACTGTTTTTACCTTTTTTTTTTATCTAAAAAGACCTATGTGAACTAAAAAAAAGAGAAATTGGATATATTTTATGTATAACATGGATTGCTACATACAGTAAGTTGATGTTTAAGTAAGCTATTTGAAAAAAGAAAGCTATTGAAGATCTAAGTCTGCTAATGTTAATATTGATAATGCATTTAATAATGACCACTTATGCAGATATTAGATGTAATTCTTGTTGTACAGGAATTAGGAGCCGGGATGTTGTGGCCATTTATGTTGAATTTTTGTAAATCATAAGTTCTATCAATTTAGTTTTTCCTTGGGCAGTTAATTATATATTTTAGTTAACTTGGAATCAAAATCTGCAATTAATTTTTATTATGGAATTGTTTAGATTACTTTGGTAGCTTTTGCACGCGCCCATTAATTAAAGAGATTAAGATCACACCATGGGGTGTGGTGGAAAGTCTTTTGTTTGTCAAATGTCCTGTGTGACGAGGGGAGGTTGTAGAATGATTTTTTGACCACTTTTTGAACTTTTAAGATGATATTAAGTTAACTTTTGTTTTCATCCAAGTTGTAAGAGATTTTTTTAGTTATTGTTTTGTCCATTTTTTTTTGGGGGGGGGGGGGGGTAAACTACATATATTTTTCAAACAATCAAGTTGGAAGTGCATTCAAGAAACTGACCACCTGTTGCCGCACATGGCCTTTCTTGGAATATTGTGGTTTGGAACTTAGAAGGCCGCGACAGTCCCAAACAGGCCTTCAGCTTCACCAGTAGGCCGCTGCGCTTACCGCGGCGGTGGCGTTTACGTCCGAGAGGTGGAAATGGGGCGCGACAGAGTTGAGCTGGGATCCGCGACAAAAACGGGGGCAAAGATTTATGCACAGCATAATCCAATTTTACCAGGTCTTTGGTCAGAAGTTGAAGATCTGGTAGAATTAGACATTCGTACACCAATAGAGAGTTGACATTATGAGCAAAAAGTGACAGGAACAACACAAACACACAAAAAGTTGACAGCGACTGGCATCAGGCCATATACACAGGCGCCATCTTCATCAGCTTCCATATGACAAATATGACATCATCAATGTTATTTTACTGGTTTGACCAAAACAACTCTAACTATGGAATGAAAGGCTGCACGGGTTACACATTCCTTAAGCAATGCCAGTTTTAATTTTCACTCACAGTTTGACCTTTGGTCCAATGTTGGTTCCTCACGGTGTGTTTATTGCTCCTTTTCTTTAAACACATAAAGTATAAAATAATTGGTCCCAAATGGCTGTTTATGGCTGCGTTCAGGGCCTTGAAAATGACTAGTTTAATCTTTAAAAAAAAAGAGTGTCTTCTCTCTGGAAACTAAGGGAGCAGAACAAATGAGAAGACTCTTGATTGTCTGAGTTCACACAATGAATTTGTACTTGTTTCTATCTTCTCTCTGATTCAGAGCCTACTCGGATCGTTCTGGCTCCCGTGGATCAGTCGGCTGTCAGGGGTTCCACAGCTCGCTTAGAGTGTAAGTCGGAGTCTGGTCTGCCCACCTCTGTGACCTGGACCAAAGACAATCAGCCCCTATACCTGGGATGGAGGTAATGGCACCATCACTTATCACAATCTTTAACTTCATCACATCATTAACTTCACGCAGACTCTCTCACTGGTACATTTTCATCTTTAAATCACTTCTTGGTCTGCTGCCTTCATTCATCTCCTCCTACATGTCTCTGTGTGAGTGCAGCTACAGCGTGCGCTCTCAGGACATTATTACCTGCAGTGTTCCCTCAGTGAGGACTGAACTAGGCAAAAGGGCCTTCTCCTACTCCGCTCCTGTTTCCTGGAATATCTTGTAAAAAGATTTGAAGCTCTCGACCTTTGACCTCTCTAAGTGGCTTTAAGAATCTGTTGGACTCCTGGCAGGGACCAATGCAGACATGTTCCTGTTTTTAGTTTTCTACATTCGCCTTATGATCTAGCTGTTTTTGTTACTTTTTGTTTTGCCATCTTATTTGTAAAAAAAAAACAATTTGTATGCCTTTTATAATTGTCTACTGTTGTTGCTGTTGTCCATTGTTGTCATCTTTCTTTGTTGAAATCAGGTCTCTCTTCTTAATGAGTCCTCGAGGCTCAATGGGATTCACCTGTCTAAATAAAGGTTGAATGAATCACAAAACACAAACACAAAATGATTATAACTCAACCAATTTTAGAGCTATTAATTTCAGATTTATTGCGATAGTAGCTGAAAGTTGTCAGCACATGCTCAAATGAGCTTACGGGGCCCATAAGACCTATCTGTTTTTAAACTTTTCCATTAACTATACAGGGCTTAAAGCGCTCCGACCATGGGCCAGATGTCCGGCTTGAGAGAAAGACAGCCCGCCAGTCCGCTTTAACTTAATTTTAGTTGATAGACATCCAATCACATCGAAGCTCACGTTGTCTTGACCAATTACTAACAGGAAGGCGGGTCGTAGAAAAGCAAGCAAGTGTGCGGCTTCGCAGTCAAATCAAATGCAGAAGATGGAGTTTGTCCCACCGGGATAAAATATAGTTTTACTTGAGAAACAAGTGGTGCTCTGCCTTCTCCATAACAGGAGGCGATTTCGTCTCCTACTCAAGTGTCTGGCGCCTCCTACTCTTACTGACGATGTGTCCCCGCTTTGGAGCGAATCGAAGTGCAGACACGTGGGTCAAATGACCGATTTCATTCTCTCTAGCAGGAAAGACACAGCATCTCAGCAACTTCCTTTGAATTTATTTCAAAACTGCAGATTTTAAACTACACAGCAGTTTTTAAATTGTGTTGATAGGTCAAGTAAAATCAGAGTTGTTATAAATAATCCATGCCACATCTTTTTTCTGAAAATGGTCAAATCTCAAGCACGTTACAGCGAGAAGCTGCAGCCCCCCCTCACCACCACCACTGAACAAATAAACGCCCTCCCCCATCCTTTCTGATGGAGGCTCCAAGTTATTTGTCAAACACCAAATAATCTACAGGAAAACTAAGAAAAAGACGTGGAAGTTGAATGGAGTTCAGTGCGTGATAAAGTCAGCGAGATCGGGGGTGAGTCGGTGGGTGATGAAGAGGATGATCATTTGTTTTAGAAGAGGAAGAGCGGACCGAGCCCAGGTCTGACTGCGCTGAGGAGGGGGTCCAGAACCAGCATCAGTTCTGAGCTCTGGAGAACAGAGGAGGATGTGGACGTTGACCCAGAAGGAAGACTAATGGAGAATAGTACACTTTTAAGAATATTACAGTAAAATAAATATTTTATAAATAATAAAAAATAATAATGTAGAGGTTTTAAACAAAAGCCATACAAACAGTAAAATGAAAACCATTTAAATTAGATATATTTATTTCAGGCTGACAGCTCTAAATATGTTTTGTTTTTTTGTTGAGGAAATATTTAAAACTAGTATTTATTTAATTTAATTTATTTATTTTTGGATGTCTGTTGCAATTTTTTTTTTGGCACATTTTTTTTCCCCTTGTCCTGTCCGGCATGTGACACTCAGAATTATTGTCTGAGTGTCAAAGTGATGCCCAACAGATTTACTTTCACAAGCAGGCTGGCCTTAATGCTCCACTTCATATATAAATTAAATTTTATTAGAATTTGCTTTGGGCTTGTTTCAGAAAACAAGAAAAATAAGAAAAAAAGCAGAAAAGTGAGAGAAGGGTTAAAATGTAAAGAAGGAGATAGGAATAGAGGAGAGAGAGAGAGGGATAAAGAGAACACAAATCAACATCATTGAAATCTGCCTCTAGACCTGCGGAAAGAAAAAAAAAAACAAGACAAAACCGAGAAACCACCACAACAAGCAACATATATAATGATACTTGTAACATTAGAAAGTATTTTATACAGTACATGGTAATACTAGATGTATTTAGTGGTCTCCACAACCCAACTGAGTGTGTATCTGATAAACAGTTTATCTGCTTGTGGAGCGGCTGTGGCTGAGTGATTAGAGCAGTCGTCCTCCAATGCGAGAGTTGGGGGTTCGAATCCACCAGCAGTCAAATGTAGAAGTGTCCCTGGGCAAGACACTGAACCCCTCATTGCCTCTGATGTGTGTCTCATTAGTGTATGAATGTGATAAAGCTCTGATTAGTCTCTTTAGAATGATTTGTTCAATTATCTTTGTATAGATCTAGTATAGAGCTGTATGAATGGGTAAATGAGGCACAGATTGTTGTAAAGCGCTTTGAGTATCTTGAAATAAGATAGAAAAGCGCTATATAAGTACAGTCCATTTATCTGTGCGAGTATACTCATCACTTTAAGGTTTCTCCATAAAAATGTTCAATAGTGGATGTGGGGACCCACAGACCTGTCCTCACAGGACACGATGGTAACACAGGGAAGACCGGAGCCACAGATACCCAGCGGTCCCCAAGCCCGGAACTCCGGGAGTCCCCCAACAGGGACACCCGCATCCCCCAGAGAGAGATGCAAAGGGAAGCCCCGGGCGATCCCCAGCCACCACAATGCAGAAACCCCAGGAGGCTGCAGCGACGAGTCCACAGGCCCCGCCGGCAACCCGCCCCTCCAGAGTAGATCCGGCCATGGACACCGAGCCCCAAGTCCTGAGGTCATACCACCCCCCAACAGAGGCCTGACAGAGCCAAGGCACCCAGGCCCCCGCAGGCAGCCACCAGGGCGGGCCCGCACAAACCCCACCACCCAGCCCCAGCTGCTGAGAGCCGCCAATGCACCAGTGACAGGGGGGCCCACCAACGGAGGGGAGCGCGACAGAGGGAAGTAGACCCCACATAAAATGGGGGCCCAAATTGATCCAAGAGAGGGGACCACTCGAGACACAAACAGGCACACAGAGACAGCCGTCCATGCGCCCCACCCACCCGACAGCGACCGCAAGCCGGCCCCAGGCCGGGGGCCAGAGCAGCAGGGAGCAGCAGCTGAGGAAGGCCGGCCCAGCGCACCAAGGACCAGGCACACCAACAGCCCCACACCACAGGCTCGGAGAAGCCCCAGCCCCCCACATATGCCCCCCCCCCCCCCCGCGAATGTCACATCAGGCAGCCAGCACCCCGTCAAAGTGAAGCCATGCCTCCAACCGTTAGTGGGCTGCTGATATTCATCGTTGGAAATTCCGACTCGCAACATGCCTGAATCTGCCAAGTCTACGCCCAAAGAGGGCTCTAGAAAACTGTCACCAAGAACACCGGCAAAGGAGGCAAGAAGAAGTGAAAGACAAGGAAGGAGAGCTATGCTATCTACATCTACAAGGCCCTCAATCAGGTCCACCTTAATACTGGCATCTCCTCCAAGGCCATGAGAATCATGAACTCCTTCATCAACACCTTTGAGCGCATCACCTCTGAGGCCTCCTGTCTGGCTCACTACAACAGGTGCTCCACCATCACCTTCAGGGAAAACCAGACCCCTGTGTGCCTCCTGCTGCCCAGGGAGCTGGCCAAGCATGCTGTGTCTGAGGGCACCCAGGCCATCACCAAGTACACCAGCTCCCAGTAAACCATCTGCAAACTGATTTTAATAAAACTCTACAAAAACAATCATGGGTTTACATTTACAACTGATTGAGTTTCAAAGTCAACTCAATGTCAAGATTGCCTCCACAGCCAGATGACCTTAGGGAAAACAAAATGATTATAACTCAGCAGGTTTACTGACATTCAGCTAAATTTTAGTATGGTGGGTAGCTGAGAGTCATCCTCAACATATACTGTACTTTGAGCACAAATACATCTCATGAGATCTATCAGTCATGCACTATGATTTTTATAAGTTAGACCAAATGACTATAACTCTGTCCCTTCTCGTCATAAGATTAATAGCTTTTGCTAACAAATAAATAATGTTTGAGTGATTTATGAATTACACACAATCACTTCTTCTTCTTCTTTTGGCTGCTCCCTTCCTCAGGGGTTGCCACAGCGAAGTCGCATGAAGACTTGCCAATTATCTTTACACTGGATGCCCTTCCTCACGCAACCACAGACCATCGAGCTACCACAGCCCTCTGTGTGGAGCTGCTATCTCGGGTGCCCGGGGGAGCAGATGGTGGGGGTTAAGGGCTTTGCTTAAGGGCCCAGAGTGGGGCAAATGAGAGTGGAGGCACGTGTGGGTACTTCACCTTTTTCACCGACATTTTTTATGTTGTCGGTACCGGGAGTTGAACCGGCGACCTTCCGATTACAGGCCCACCTTCTCTAACCTCTGCGCCACCACTCCCTCACACACAATCACTAAAGATTAGAATAAATTAGTATTCAGTGGTTAACTTGCAGTCTTTTTGTGTTCCAGACTCAGGAAGGATGAAGCGTCCCTGACCATCCCCAACGTTAACGAGGGTGACGAGGGCCTGTACACCTGCACCGTTACATCAGAGATAGACGAGGACTCAGCCTCAGCCCAACTCACTGTGTTAGGTACACCAGATTTTAACTAACAAAATACAATTATGTTGACAACACAACTTGAGAAATAAGTGGGGCACCAACTTCAATTTTGGTGTGTGGCTACAACCAGGTGTAAGAAAGGACCATTTCAACTACGCTCATGTCTCTGGTTATGTCCTAAACTAAGAGTATTCTGGGAGGAGATATTTGACGCCCTTAAGGTAATTTTCAGAATAGATGTTCAAAAAAACAACCTCTAGTGGCAGTATTGGGAGAAATACCTAAAGGAATGGATGGGAAGGCTGACAGATACCTTCTGAACATATTGCTCACAGCAGCATTGAAATGCACAACCATTAGATGGCTCAAACCAGAGCCTCCCACATACAGAATACGTGGATCCAAAAAGTTTGGGACATTTATTTGATGGAGCAAATTACATACTCTTTAAGGCTTAAAAAACTCATTTTTACTACATGGTGGAACTCAGTTATGCCTTTATTAATACAATGATGTGCTTAGAGTTCTGTCTTTTTGCACTCTGTACACTTTCATGCTAGAAAAATAAAAATACCACTGCAAACAGGAATGTTTGGACTGTCTTACCTCAGAGGGGATCCCCCCCCCCCCAAAAAAAAAAAATATTATTGAATTTTTAGCAGTTTGAACAAACGCAGCTCAAACATTCTGTGAGATGTAAATGGACTGTACTTATACAGCGCCTTTCTATCTTATCAAGACACTCAAAGCACTTTACAACAATCTGTGCTTCATTTACTCATTCATACAGCTCTATACTAGATCTCTACAAAGCTAATTGAACAAATCATTCTAAAGAGACTAATCAGAGTTTATCACATTCATACACTGATGGGACACACATCAGAGGCAGTGAGGGGTTCAGTGTCTTGCCCAGGGACACTTCGGCATGTGGCTGCTGGTGGATTTGAACCCCCCAACTCTTGCATTGGAGGACGACTGCTCTAACCACTCAGCCACAGCCGGCCCAATGTAGTAAAACAATGATAGTGTTACTTAAACACCGTGTTCAAACCAAATACCAAATTAAAATAACAAATACCCCCCCCACCACCCTGAACCCCACGCAACCAAACACAACCCCCACCCATCACATCCATACTGAAGTATCAAATACAACAGTATATCTACATTTGGAGAATTATTTGTATTTAGGAACTGCAGTGCTAACCTCCTCCAGTCACATGCACTTTCTTCTGGCATGTTCAAATATACATAATGAAGGGGTTCCAGATGCACGCAAACAAGTCTTGTTTGCCCTTTAATGCAGATGTAATATTTTCCAGACAGATAACATCTGTTGGATCCACTGGTTGACAGACGGTCTATGAGTCTTTTTTCAATATGATATACATCTTTTTCCATTGAGCAAACTTACATTTATAAATGTTCATTCATTTTTAGTGTAGTTATGTTTTTCTGGATACAGTCCAAACAAAAACAACTTTGGATCCAATATCATTTGTGTAGAGATGATTTCCTCAGTTACATCCACCACCTTTTTCCAAACAGCATGATTTTTCTACAGTACCACATACAGTGAGCCAGAGTCCCTCTGTCTTCTGTACATTTTGGACATGCATCAGGTATCTCCCCATTAAACCTATTAAGGTCCACTGGTGTTATATGAACCCGCGTTAACCATTTGAGAATTGGATCATTTTAAGACCTGTTTTGATGGCGCTAGTATGGGCTAATGTACATGCTGCTTGCCAATCTTCCTCAGATAACTCAACTAAATCTTCCTTCCAAGCCTTAAGTCTATCATAAGATCCTTTCTGTTCAGAGTTCTGTCTCTTTGCACTCTCTGTCCACTGCAAACAGGAATGTGTGGCCTATCTTACCTCAGAGGGGATTTTATTGATTTAGTTATGTTCTCTCTCTCTTTTGTTAATTTGCTTTTATTGTTGTACTCATTGTTCTATTATTACAACTGCTAGTAGTGTCACTACTGCTATTTCATTTTCTTTTGTCAACTTATAATGTGGAATGTATATAGCTGTATGCTATAGAAAGAATGTAACTATGAAAAGTGTTACCACTTGTTGTTCTTGTCAAATAAAAAAATAAAATAAAAACAAAGTTTAAAAAAAAGGTCCTTTCAAACATTGGTTTGCCACATCAAAATCCAAGATGGCTGCTGCCATCTTGATTGATATGATGGATCCTGGAGAGTGGAGGGAGCAATTTTATCTACCATCAGGTGTAATGGTGCAGCCAGGGGGTGGCCACCCTAGATTCATTTTAGGCCACCCCAATCATTCGCAGAAACTAAACTTTTAAGCAATAGAAATAATAAGAATATATGTATGTACATATGGAGGTCTTCATCTTGGATTTTGACTTGGCAAACCAAGTTTCAATAGTGACTCTATTTACACCTAGATGCAGCCACACGCTTTAATGGAAGTCGGTACCGTTTTTATTTTTCTTGTAATCCAGCTCACAACATGCAAAGACGGGCAGAGGGAGGGTATTTCAGTTCCCCCTCTTTGATTTATGATGGGGACGAAAACACCACATTTAGAACAAGGCCAAGTGAAAGAGACTTAGTTTTTCTTTGGACCTGTGGTCCTCCATGATGAGACACATTTGTCATCAAAAAATAAGAATAAGCTTTTAAATGAATAAAAGCTTTAAACTTGTTGTATTTATACCTCTGTAAAGCAGGTAATACAGAAACTTTCTTCAACCTGATGCATGAATGAACGAGCATTAATAAAACGTCTCTTCACACCGTGTTTATAACCATTTTAAAATGTATGTTGACTTTGACTGCCAACTCTTTAAAGTAGTTTTTCCTCACAGTGACCTGTTAACTGCTGTGCTTCCTTCCTGTACACTAACCTGTAACCACTAACCTGTATACCCACTTCCTGCTCCTTGACCCCACCCCCACAGAGGAAGCTTCTCTCAACCGCACAGTCTCTAGTGCCTTACCTCCAGGTAAAACTTGGCTCCGCTCAAAGTCTCTTCTGTCTTTACTTTCTTTTTGAAAATATATAGTGGAATTTTATTTTATGCACAGTGAATATAATTGATGTCATTAGAGCTCAGAGTCATTTTGAGAGGAGAAATTAATCTGGTACCTGATGACTAAGAGTGTTTAGTGACATGCTCATGGTTAAATGCTTGTGTGTTTGACAACCCAGTCAAGCTGTTATTTATTTCTCCACAGGACGTCCAGAACCACCGATGGATCTGGACCTGTCGGATCCAGCAGCCCGTAGCGTTCGTCTTACCTGGATCCCTGGAAACGACAACAGGAGTCCCGTCACAGGTCACTTCTCTTGTAATTCTCTTTCTGCAACCTGAGAGGTGCAGTAGATCAGTGGTCGATGAATTCTGAGGCTGCAGGTCTGAGCCCAGGTCGTGTCAGGAGCAGCATCTGGCATAAAACAGTTTCCAGATCTTTCATTCGAGATTGCTTGTTATGATGACTCCTGCAGAAGGAGGCA